TCGGAGGATTTTTGTTTGTTTACTGTTGTAGTTTAAGTGAAAGTTTACATTTCAAGTTAGTCTCTTATACAAAAATTTATACATACATTGTTATATGACCCTAATTGCTCTCCCTATACTGTGACAGCACACTCCTCCTTTCCATCCCTGTTTTCCCATGACAGTTCAACTAGCTCCTAACCCTCTCTGCCTTCTCATCTCACTTCTGGACAGAAGCTGCCCGTTAAGTCTCATGTATCTACTTGAGCTAAGAATAAGAAGCACATTCTTCACGAGTATCATTTTAAGTCCCACAGTCCAGCCCAATCTTTGTCTGAAGAGTTGGCCTCGGAAATTGTTTTAGTTCTGGGCTGATAGAGAATCCAGGGGCTGTGCTTTCCAGGATTCCTCCTGTCTCAGTCGGATCGTTAAGTCTGGTCTTTTTACTAGAATTTAAATTCTGTACTCCACATTTCTCCTGTTCCATCCGGGACTCTCTGTTGTGTTCCCTGTCAGGGCAGTCATTGGTGGTAGCCAGGCACCATCTACTTCTTCTGATCTCAGGCTGATAAAGTCTGGTTTATGTGGCCCTTTCTGTCTCTTGGGCTACTGCTTTCTTTGTGTCTTTGGTGTTTTCATTCTCCTTTACTCCAGGTGGTTGGGACCAGCTGATGCATCTTAGATGGCTGCTTACAAGCTTTTAAGACCCCAGAAGCCACTCACCGAAGCAGGATGCAGAATATTTTCTTAATAAGCTTTGTTATGCCAGTTGACCTAGATGTCCCCTGAAAGCATGGTCCCCAGACCGCCACCCCTGCTACTCTGTCCCTCGAAGTGTTTGAACAGAGTTGGGAGGATTTTTGTTTTCTTTATGTCGAGGTATAATCCATACTGAAGGCTGTGGTCTTTGATCTTCATCAGTAACTGCTTCAAGTCCTCTTTGCTTCAGCAAACAAGGTTGTGTCATCTGCATAATGCAGGTTGTTAATGAGTCTTCCACCAATCCTGATGCCACTTTCTTCTTCATATAGTCCAGCTTCTTGGATTATTTGCTTAGCAAACAGACTGAATAAGTATGGTGAAAGGATGCAACCCCGATGCACACTTTTCCTAATTTTAAACCATCCAGTATCTTCTTGTTCTTTTCAAATGACTGCCTCTGGGTCTATGTACAGGTTTCACAGGAGCACAATTAAGATTGAGGGTAGAAGCGCATTATCAACTGCTTTTATTTTTCACACTTATTTCTTTACATTTGGACAGGCCATCCCCAGAGCTGACTGTAATTATATTAATTAATTAAGTTTGAATTAAAATGTCATGCTTTTTGTTAATCTTCACATCTAGAAATAGTGAAAAGAAAAGGTTAAGATTCCTTTAAAGAAGTTTAAGACATTTCTTTTATTCTATAATGTAGGTTTTTGCATTCTAGTAACTAAAAGAAAAATTATGTTTCCATTCTCAAAAACACTTTGCTAAGCCACACTGTCTTATTATCAAATCCAAATTTAAAATTTCTGTTTTATTCCTTTTGTGTCTAGATCTAGCCTCAAAAGGAAGATATCTTCAAAATGCATACTTTCTAAGAGTAAAAGATTCATGGTAACTGTAATTAAAACTGTGTCATTTCAGAAGTGTATAGTATTAAATTTATTTTATTAAGAAAAAAGCAATTATTTTCTAAAACTGATAATTACAGTTTTATATTGTGCATTTACATGTAGATTGTTAAATGTTTAATAAGACTCCTATTCTGTTGGTTATTGTCTGTTGATTTTCAATAATGCTTGGTTTATAACTACAAATGCCAAGATTCTTCAAGTATGGGGGTTTTTTGTTTTAAATGTTTCTATTTTAAGTTTTAAGAAGGGAAAACACTGGTAAAGTTTTTTCTAAAAATATTCGTATCAGAAACTTGAATGCATATTAAATTTTTAAATGTTTGGATATTTGAGTTTAGAGTCCTAGATTTTCTTAAAAAGAAAAAACAAACTTTTCTGAAAATAGGGACATTTTGTGTATTTTTGTTTTAAAATTGTGTGCACACGCATATACGTATCTCAAGCCATTTGTGTACATACGCATATGTCTTGATTCCTGTAGGCTGCACTATTAAGGGAGCCCTGGTGGTGGAGTGGTTAAGAATCCGGCTGCTAGGCAAAAGGTCTGCAGTTTGAATCTACCAGCCACTCCTCGGAAACCCTACTGGACAGTTCTGCTCTGTCTTATAGGGTCCCTCTGAGTCTGAATCAACTCGATGGCAACAAGTTTTTTGGTTTTGTGCTGTTAAGCAGCTGTCAAATGGATAGGTCATTCAAGAGTCAGGAGTCTACGGTTTACTCTCTTACAAGTAGCTCTCTCAGTTTTCCCATACCTTACCAAAATCTTCTCTGTTTTCTAACTGGCATTCTATGCATTATTCTGGATTTACTAATAGGACCAGGAAGGAAATTAATTTTTTATGATATGTGCCTTGGCAGTCCCCAAGACCATCCCCAGGTACAGTGATTCACTAGGAGGACTCATGACTACGAGTTATTACAGCAGAAGGATACAAGGCAAAATCAGCAGAGAAAAGGCACATGTGACAAAGCCTTGAAGAAATCAGGCCCAAGCTTCTAAGAGTCCTCTCCCAGTAGAGTCACACAGGTCAGATTTAAATCCTCCAGCAATAGATTGTAACAATACACGTGAAATGTTGTCTACCAGGGAAGCTCTTTCTGTACTCCATGCCCAAGGTTTTTATTAGGGGTTGGTCATGTAGGTACCCTCCACCTAGCATGTACCAAAATTTCAGGCTCGGAAGGAAAGCAAGTGCTCAGCATAAACAATATTGTTTGCACAAACCGTTTAGGCACAATCAGCCACTCATATCAGTTAGAGTGGTAAGAACATTCCCCAAACCCAAATTTCCTTGCAAACAGGCCTTTTTAAGTATAGCAGTCTCAGACTTGCTATACTAACTCTTTTCTGCACAATATGCTTTACAGAAGAAAAAATATTAGGAAGTTTTTAAACTTTATTTAACAGTATTCATTTATTCATGCTTGCCATTCCAGTGATTAACACAAACCATCTCTGAAATGTGAGCCATTTTCACCTTGAGATGGATGATTGATACCCTATCCCTTTTATTGTTGGTGTCTAGTGGGTATAAGCCGTATTATTTTCATCCCAGTATATTCTCCAACAACAAAAATAAACTTTTTTACCCAAATGTTGCTGCAATGGTATCTTGATGATATTACTGTAAGAGTTTAGAGGCCTCATGTTTTTTGGTAATACATTTGCCAATTTTTATTTTATGTTCCTTTACTAGCCTTCTGGAAATAATATAAGGATAATAAATTTATCATTAGTTTCAACCTGGAATTGAGTTATAATTTCTAAGTAAAATCTTTGTACTCCACATGTGTAATTTCAATACTGCTTGATCTATAATACTGATATTTGAATGTCATTTTTTAACACCGCATTTTGGAGACTGGAAGATGATTAATAACTGCATTGTGAACACAGAATCTTAGAGCTGAAAGAGCCCTTCCTAAGCTATTTGACTTTGCATCTGTCAATGGGTGGGTGCAGAACTAAACCAGCCAAGGCAGATGGTGCTGGAAACACTCCTGAAGTGGGTACTCCACACAGTTCTCAGAAGCCCAGGTTGGAGTGTAATTAAGCTAATTATCCAAAAGGCCTTCCTTCCTTTTTTCCAAGACCACTTATTTTACTGGTCTTTCACAGATTTAGAGAACAGTTTAAAAAAATCTTTCATTAAAACAATTGCTAAATCATCCTTTGGCCTTTTCTTTGCCAGATTGAGCCATCCTACTTCCTTCAACCTTGTCTCAGAGTAGTTGCAGGAATGAAAATTTAGCATTTTGAAAAAAAGAAGAAATGCCAGTTTAGTCTAAAGAGATGCTTTAACCTGGGGGGGGGGGGTCTATGAACTCGAATGGGAAAAAAAAATTACACTTGATTTTCACTAACCTCTCTCTGAAACTCAGCAATTTCCTCCACTACTATATCATAAGTGAATTGTTAAAAAATATTTGGATAACCCTACTTTTGTGAGTGGCGTCTGGGGTCTTAAAAGCTTGCAAGTGGCCATCTAAGATGCATCAATTGGTCCCAACCACCTG